GCCAAAAAAAAAAAAAAAAAAAAGGACACGACAGAAGGCTAACAAGAGCAACACTAAGTATTGGCAAGGGTGTAAGGAGAAAAGCATCGCAAGCAGAAATGTAAATTAGTAGAAACTTACTAAAAGTATTTGTCAATATGTATCAAAAGCTTCCAAAACATTCAATTCCACTTTTACAAATTTATCCTAAGGAAATAACTAAGAATGTATACAAAAACTGGGGACACAGATATTCATGGTAATACCAGTTACCACTTTAAACAATTAACAATAATGAGTGCTCAAATAAAACATGTACCACAATGGAATACCATGCGGTCATCAAAAGATGCATGGAAATGTATTTACTGAAGTGGAAAAAACGCACGTGACATTAAATTTAAGCAGCACGTTACTAAACAGTGTATACTGAGATTCTACTTTTAAAACATATGCCTTTTTCTCTACATATACAAGTTTGCAGGACTTCCCTGGTGGAGCAGTGGTTAAGAATCTGCCTGCCAATGCAGGGAACATGGGTTCGAGCCCTAGTCCAGGGAGATCCCACATGCTGCGGAGCAACTAAGCCTGTGCACCACAAACTACTGAGCCTGCGCTCTAGAGCCCACAAGCCACAACTACTGAAGCCAGCGCGACTAGAGCCCATGCTCTGCAACCAGAGAAGCCACCGCAGTGAGAAGCCTGTGCACCAGTGAAGAGTAGCCTCCGCTCGCCGCAACTAGAGAAAGCCCGCGTGCAGTACTGAAGACCCAAAGCAGCCATAAATAAATAAATAAATAAATATTTTTAAAAAAGTTTGCAAGATATTCATCATATCATTAACAGTGGTGTTACCTCTGGGTAAGTAACCTGCATGATTCGATTTTTTTAAAATTAATTTATTTTATTTTTTATTTTTGGCTGCGTTGGGTCTTTGTTGCTATGGCGGTGAGCAGGGGCTACTGTTCATTGTGGTGCACAGGCTTCTCATTGCAGTGGCTTCTTTTGCTGCGGAGCACGGGCTCTAGGCGCGTGGGCGTCAGCAGCTGTGGCACGCGGGCTCCACAGCACAGGCTCAGCAGTTATGGCGCACAGGCTTAGTTGCTCTGCAGCATGTGGGATCTTCCCAGACTAGGGCTTGAACCCATGTCCCCTGCACTGGCAGGCGGATTCTCAACCACTGCGCCACAAGGGAAGCCCCTAAATGATCCTATTTTTGTCCCCCAATCTTTCCCAGTCTTTTATATTTCCTACTTTTTCTATGAGTACCAAATTAAGAAAGTTGAACACTTTAAAATATTAAGTGAAAATAGTTTTTGCTAGAGATAGATATAAATATGCATATATTGACAGCAATTATCCTCGGATGACGGGATTATGGATTACTTCTTTCACTGGAGTTTTTTCAAACCAAAGACTTTTCACAAAAATGTGCATACTAGATTACCTCCAATTTTTCAGCCAGGAGACCCTCAGTGCCCCCAGACCTCAATCTCATCTGCATGAGTTCATTGATAGCTGACTGGTCCCCTGAGAAAAATAGAGATATTGAGTGGAAAATCCTCGAGGGAGTTGGCTGTTCCCTCAAGAACCACTAGATTCAACTCCAAGCTCTTCTCCCTCCATAAGCACATTTCAAGGCCTCCCAAGTCCTTTCACAAAGCTCTTGGTGAGTAAAGAAGATGGCAAGGCCAAAACTGAAGCAATGGAATTCCCTTCCGGATTTCGAGCAGGGCTAACTCCGACAATTCTACTTTTTTCATCAACCAAAACCCACGCCAAATATGGAAGCAAGGGAAAGGGAAGAAAGTTAAAGAAATTCTCTGGGCTCTCTGAGATGAACTACCACCAAGCCACCTGTCGATGCCCCATGCAGCCCGCTCACCAATGTTATATGCACAGTAGCGGATGTTGGGCGAGATCTCCTCCACACGCTGGTTGTACAGCACAGCCTGCTCTTCTGTGAAAGCGCTGGCCAGCTTCTCATAGATAGTCCTGCGAGGAAGGAAACATCACGGCTCACAGCAGTCTCACTTTAAGAAAATAAACTCATAAGGAACACAGACCAACTACCAGAACTGGCATGTTCTGAGGCTGAAAGAGAAGAATCAACATTTCTAAAGAGAAGGAAAAAAGAAAGAGATTGTAATAACTTTCACAGAAACAAGCATTGGCTGATCTGCAGCTTGAATGTGACTATTATCAAAACTGGTCACAGCCTTTGGACCAGAGGACTTACTTGCATTTGTTAAAAGCCTCAATGGCGGCTTTCCATTCTTGATGTTCAAACCGCAGCATTCCTGAGAGGTAAGCCGTGTAAGCCTGTAAGGAGACGGGAAGAGAGAAACGGCTTCAACACCCGACAACCAGACAGCCCAACCGCCTCTACTTGCTTCGAACTTTGGTATCAAGGATACAGAAATATTCAGGTTGATTCTAAAAGAAAAAAATTTATTTCACTAATAAAATGTGATACATACGTAATTTTATGATTCATTTTACTTCCTAGGCAAGAACTTCAAAATAAAGAAAATTTGTTGCCTGCATTTTATTTAACAACCCGCTTCTGGGCTATAACATAAGCATTAAAAGTTGAAATATCTTTTATCTCTTTTCAAATATTCATTAAGAAAAAAATTCTTATTTTGTGAACTTCCCAGATACAAGTTCTCCATGCACGTATCAAAAGAAGCATGGGCTTTCTTAAAAGTTAGAGCTAATTGTTAAAAACCAAGAGCTCAAAAACAAAAACAAGAGCCAACTTCACCTTTTAAAAGCAAGATTAGGTTTTTTCCTCTCCTGACTACCAACATATAATGTAAGAAACTCTGTTCTGTTTACGTCTCTCATCTCCACAATAAAGCAAAGCTGATGTTGAGACACTAACCTGAGCCTCCAACTTGGTCTTGGCGTCCACACGATTGCTCTCACACAAGCGTTCCAACTCCTCCGCATGCTTCACAGCTTTGCGTAGGCGAGATAACAAGTGGAACCGTTTTCGGGGTTCAGTGTTGGCTTCCTGTTTGAGCTGCATGGCATAGCTCCAGGCTCTCTCAGCATCCATCAGAACCAGAAGCAAATATCTAAACCAGAGACAGAATGGGCCAACTGAACAGCAAAGGCCAGGAGCACCAGACTCAGATATTCTCTGACGTGCAGTCTTTGGCCTCTCAACTTTTCCCTATGCTCTCCGTTGCTTTCCTCCTCAGAGCTGCTCTTCAGTATCAACCATGGCTCCCAAATCAGCATCTCTGATAGGTTTCTAACCACCTATCAGACACATCTCATTGAAAAGCCTGCTACTGCTTCAAACTTGGCAAACCCAGACTTACCCCTCCCAAATTTAACAAATAGAGATAGTCTAGGCACATAATCTGGCCTCATCTTTGAATCATATCTCCTTCATCCCAACTCAGTTAGAAACCACGTCCTTGAGAAGCAGTGTATACACGTGTGTGTGTGTGTGCGTGTATGCGTGTGTACTTTTTTTAACTGAAGTATAGCTGACTTAAAATATCATATTAGTTTCATGTGTACCACAGAGATCCGATATTTTTATACATTATGAAATGATCACCACAGGAAGTCTAGTCACCATCTGTCACCATACAAAGGTATTACTATATTATTGACTGTGTTCCCTATGTTGTGCATTATATCCCTGTGACTCTACTGTATAACTGGAAGTTTGTACTTCTTAATCCCCTTCCCCTATTTCACCTACTCCCTCCCACTTCTCTCCCCCCTGGCAACCACCAGCTTGTTCTCTACAAGTCCTTTTGTTTGTTCATTTGTTTTTTAGATTCTACATATAAGTGAGATCATACAGTATTTGTCTTCCTCTAATTTCACTTAGCATAATACTCTCTACGTCCATCCATGTTGTCGCAAATGGCAAGATTTCATTCTTTTTTTATGGTTGAGTCACATATATGTAACCTGATCTTGCTTTTACAAGATGAAGTTGGCATCCCTTGTTTTTGTTTCTGAGCTCTGGTTTAAATATACATATAAATATAGATATAGACAGAGATTTAGATATAAAACCTTCTTTATCTGTTATCTATCAGTGGACACTTAGGCTGCTTCCACACCTTAGCTATTGTAAACAATGCTACACAATAAACGCTGGCGTGCATATACCTTTTTTAATTCGTGTCTTGGGGAGTTTTTTTCAGATAAATACCCAGAAGTGGAATTGCTGAGTCATATAGTTCTATTTTTAATTTTTGGAGGAACCTCTGTACTGTCTTCCATAGTAATCGCACCAATTTACATTCCCACCAACAGTGCACGAGGGCTCCCTTCTCTCCACATCCTCACCAACACTTGTTATTTCTTGTCCTTTTGATAACAGCTATTCCGACAGGTGTAAGGTGATATCGTGGTTCTGATTTGCATTTCCCTGACAACTAGTGACGTGGAGCATCTTTGCAGGTGCCTGATGGCCATCTATATAACCTCCTTGGAAAAATTTCTATTCAGATCCTCTACCCATTTTTTAATCAAATTGTTTGTTTTTTTGATATTGAGTTGTATGAGTTCTTTATATATTCTGGATATTAACCCCTCATCAGATATGTCATTTGGAAATATCTTCTCCCATTTAATAGGTTGCCTGTTCATTTTGTTGATGGTTTCTTTCGCTGTGCAGAGAGAGGCAGTATACTGAAGTCGTTAAGAGCCTGGATTGGAATTTTAGTGCCACCACTCACTAGCTGTGTGACTTCGGGCAAAATACTAACCTTTCTGTGCTTCACTCTCCCATGCAGTAATACATAAAACACACTTAGACCAGAGCCTGGCACTTACTAACTGCTATATAAGTTAGCTACTTTATTATTATTATGGTGAATCTTTCTTTAAACTACTGCCTTGATTAATCTTCCTTTAACTGCAGCTTAGCCTGGTCTCACTGTTCCAACAGATTCTTCCTAACTTGATCTCATCGGATTTAATCAATCCATCCTGCTTCATCCCATCATGCTCTAGTTTTCTGACCGTGTCTCATACACCAAGCTCCGAGCCTCTTCGCTGCCTGAGCAGTAGCTAACAACTGCCCAGAGCATTACAGTTCCTACACTGCATCCAAAGACACCATGGCATGCTGTTTCTCCGAACACAGAATGTCTTTTCCTCTCACAAACCCTTAAAGGTCCAGCCTCCTCCATGCAGGCTTCCTGGTTTCCCCATCAAGAACCCCCAAACTAACTTCTCCCTTCCAAGACTTCAGAATTCTTATGAGTAAATTACACACAATATAGCAGTTCTGCTATCTTGTAGTGTTCCCTGTTCTGCACTCAACCAATATCTCTCAACAATATCAGAGTCAATGAGGTTCAACAACTATGCGTCCCCAACTCTTCTACATCCAGTATGGTGTCTAACTCAGTTCCAGCCACATACTGGACCAGGGGGCAGCAAACTTTTTTCATAAAGGGCCCAACAGTAAGTATTTTAGGCTTTATAGGCCCTATGGTCTCTGTCACAACTACTCTGCTACTGTAGCACAAAAGCAGCTGTAAGCGATATCTAAATAAATGGTGTGGCTGTGTTCCAATTTTATTTACAATAAACAGGTGGCAGGAAGACCATTTTGGCTCACAGGTCAAAGCTGAGGAACTTGACCCATAGACTTTTTTTTTTTTTTTTTTTTTTGGGGTCGCGGGGCCCTCTCACTGTTGTGGCCTCTCCCGTTGCGGAGCGGACGCGCAGGCTCAGCTGCCATGGCTCACGGGC